TTTTGCATGTATAAATAGTTACAGCTCAGTAAACAGAGGCCTCTGTAACAAAAAAAATATGACTTTGAATGTAGACTGCACAATGTGAACCTTATGTTGCTTATCCAAATTAAGTTACAATATATTGAAAAGTAAAAGAAAGTGATTTCGATCATTTCACAATAACATAATTTTCACAACTTCATAATGAATGTAAAGTTACAGGTTCATAATTAATCTTTATACGAGGGAACTCAACGAGCTCGCGTACTTACAAATTTATCGAATACATTGTCATGAAATATATTGAGACTGATGATTTCAAATAATTGAATGCGTACTCCTAATTACTCGCAAATAAGCCGTTGTTACAAATAGAAATCATTACGAGCTCTCGCTCGTAATTTGTAATTATGCAAGTTGTACCGCGTGAGAAAACGTTGTACATTACGTAAAATTGAACAACAGTAGTGCATCTAATTCAATTGAAGCTGTAAGGTTGCCACGCAATCTATGAATGTCATTTTATATCCACTTACTTCTGCAATGATCGAGATATTTAGTTGGGGACTTCGTGACGTAGCCTCTACGCGCCCGCCACCCAACGGGCCTCCTCATTTAAAGACCATTCTTCAATAACCCCTAATTGTCTTTTGTGAAATTCCAGAAGCTTTTGTCTTGCTAATTAAGATCTATTTTAGCGAATAGCTGCAGCATTCCTTGTTTATATTCAAATTCTGCGTTCAACTTAAAATTAAAATTGTTGCTCTTTCAAATATAAATTTGCAAATAGTTCCAAATATCAAGTGATGGCTAGAAAAAAAAATCCTCTGAAAATTATATAAGGGACAGTATCAAATTTATAAAGATAGGTTTACATAGTGAAACTTAACTACTCCCTAGTACCCAAGAACCTTAATTTCGTTTTGTAAACATAAGTCAACGAAGCTAGGAACACCTAAGGTGACAAATTAAATAAAATAAATTTAGTAACGTTTATAGTAACGGCCTCTTCCTTTTTCCTTAAACATTTTTGGCGATTCTGCTTTTAGGAATATTACATTACATTATACTATGTCTATATTATTCCTTCAAAAATTGACTTTCTTTTTAAAATTATCTTGGATTGTTATAGATAATTATAATCAATAATTATCCCATTTTTGGTAACTTTGCTGCTCGAAATTCGACACAATGTCCGACACTGCCGGAAATTTGTTCACACCGCCGCCGGAAATAGCGAAACTGACACATTTCGTTCGAAGACAGCTGTCTTATATTAAAGTGTTACTATTAGTGAAACTATAATATAATTTCAGACTCATTTTTGCGATATATATATCACTGGCAATGGATATGACAAAAAAAACCGACATCGAGAATGTCGGGGATACGATTTTGATGTAATTGAAACTGGTTCTCAATTCTCCAAATGCTGTACGTATAACTTGAATATATAATAAGGTAAACAGTATCTAAAAAAAGTATCGCGAAAAGTCTGCATACAATTTTGAGTATATACTGGTTGGAGCTAGTCTAGATTTGTGAGTGTGTGTGTGTGTGTGTGTGTACTGAGATTATAATACAATAAAACTTATTAGGCATGTTCCTAGTTCTGATCAAAATTTCCTTTTTAAAATAATGAATGATTGAATAATGAATGAGCTTCTGATATGAATATGCTAAAATTGAGAAAGAATGTCAATGAGAGCTGTAATTTTTCAGTAAAATCTCCATTAATTAAAATTAAATGTATTTCTAAATATCTTTTATCATATTAATTAGGGTACAGGAAAGGGGCCTCCCTGCAAGACGGACCATTACTTTCCTGTACGTCTGGTACACCCTACCCAACAATCGACAAGTAACACACGCCGATTGGCAAAAACTTCCACCACGATGGCAAGCATTATAGTGTATGCATCGTACAATAAGAAAATGATCATATTAAAGTATCATGGATTACGTACTGCGACGATATTGATACGTATGATATCGTTTCAAAAGGTCCGTATTTATATTAAAAAAATATCGAAATCAAATCGATCAAGTTTGTGGAATTACATCTATTTGTCTAGTTTTATTGAAGTCAAAGTGAAAGAATCATTTATTCCATAGGTAAAATAAATTTACACTTGAAAACGTCTCATTAAAGCTACTGCTCGTTCACTACGCCGACTTCCCTGAGAAGAACGAGCAAGAAACTCTAGGGATTGCTCTTTTCAAATAAACTTAAATGCTATGGAATACACTTTGAATCGAATTTGTGAGGAATCTAGATCCATGTCATCTTTCCATACATCGTTATATAACACATAGTCTTAAATTTTGGAATATGGCTTTTCAATTAAAATATTTTTAATGTAGTTTTTAAACAAAGTGAAATCGGTTAACGGACAGTGGGTGAAATCCAATCAACCGGATTTATGCCCTGACTCATTGACTTGCCCTGACTTGAAATATTTTCTTCAAATTTGAATGGAACCACTGCTGAAGCCTCCTTTCCAAAAAACAAAAATAGTCGAAATCTGTTCACAAATGTTGGAGTAGTCGCGTAATATACAAAAAAAAGTACAGTGGAATTAATAACCTCCTCTTTCTTTTGAAGTTGCTTAGTCAATATAAATATATGTCTGTGTTAAGATTTTGAGTTTAGCGACTCAAGTTGCACGTGTTAAACGTATTCGACAGTTACTTAACTTCTAAAGTAGCTAACTCCATTGCATTCAGCTCTATCTACGTTTAACCTTATCAACTAATCTCAAGAAGGCGAGATTTAAACTAGCACGAACATCCACGTACTAATTTGATGCAATAACACATTAGAATTTTCAATCATAGTTTATGATGTCTAATCACATTAAATGTAATTGATAAATAGATATTAAACTTTGCAATAGCAATTTAAAGAAGAAAGTTTAGATACTTTCTAACTTTATTACTGTGGAAGTTACTTTTCTTCATAAACTCGTGGACGCAATCAATTTCGTTGAATGTTTTTGAAATTAAATTGCGTCTGTGGGGAAACGCCAAAAGGCAAAAAATTACGAGTGGGAAACGTGAATCCGCATTGATCGGTTTTTACGTAAATTGTCAACACAAAAGCTTCAATCGTGCCGGGAAAATTAAATTCATTTACAATTCTGGCTTACCTGGCTTTATTTTCTGTCCCAGGAACAAAAACATTGCGATATTGAATTTTGAAATGAAAAATGGTTTTCGGTAATTTTATATTCAATAGTTTTCCATCAAGCTCGACCATTCACTGTTTTAAGGCTAAATTGATGTTGCATTTAGCAATTTAATAAATAGCTATCGATGTAGCGTAGTTCTCACAAATCTTGTGAGTTTATTTTAAATATTAACACTATTGACGGCATTATATTAGCTACATTGTTATATTCATGGTCGTAGGTATAGGTATAGGACTTACTATTTAACGATTGTAGGGATAGGCCGGTAAGCATAATAAGCGTAAACATAACAAAAGAGGAATTATCTTTTATAACAAAGGAGATAATGAAGACAGACACTCGATGGGTCCGAACCCGAGTCTCGAGCACAAGCTCCGCTACAAAACTCTGTAACTACCAGCGACGGATTTAGTAAGGGGAGGGAATCGCGTCTCTTTTGCATCATACTCTAAAAGATGAACGCTAAATTATCTTATTAACTGACTTCAACAAAAGGAGGAGGTTCTCAATTCGACTTCATGTTTTTTTTGTATGTATATTACGCGATAACTACGAATTTGAACCGATTGTGATGACTCTTTTTGTACTAGATAGAGGGTACCACAGTAGTAGTCCCATTTAAATTTGAAGAAAATATGTATTCCACCTCTAAGGGTGGCAAACTAGTGACTTTTGAATAAAAAGATATTTATTTCTCCACAAAACATAAGAAACAGAATACTTAAAGAACGAAACGAATAGAAAAAAAAACAATTGAGTAATGTGGACAAAAAGGTTAAAGACTCAGCATTGCTGATTTTCAGTCTTCACCAAGTAATAACCTACCTGTATCAGTACTATGTACTGAGATTATCTTAACCGATAGAGGTCCTGAACATAATTCAATATATTTTAACTAGTTTCAATTACATTGAAGGGTATCATGTTCACGTATGTACAAATCTGTAAGAGAACCTACCTACTTATTTCTTGTTCATACTTGAATGATTTTAGTCCACATCTAATAATAAACTTAACATCGTTCAAAAACAAGAATTCCTCACGAAATAGTTTCCAAATAAGCATTGTCAAAGTTATTGTATACAGAAACTTGTGCCTCACAACATCGTTTATCTAACGCTCACATATTTTTTTTTTGGTATCGTTAGAAAATCAACAGAGTTTCGTTGACAGGCTTGTGGGATGAAGATAATTTTGTTCTACGTAGGGCTTTGCTTTATATGGGTTAAGTAATTAAAACATTCTAATTTTTATATCGCTTGTTTTCGAAAACAGTGTGAGTAATTTTGAAAAAGCAAAAAGAAGAAAAGACTGGACAAATAATTTTTCGAGGTATTTTTAGATCTCTTTCTTTCTGTCCCGTTTAGTTCGGAGAATAAAATGGTTGTTTGCGAGACACTGGCGGATAAGTTCCGCTCCCAAATAAGTCAATGGAGGAATTGGAAAAGATCGCAATACAATTGGGGAAGTTTATGTGGACGCAAGCTTAATTTGAGCGGAAAATTTTGAATCTCTGTTTCAAATTGTCATGGTATTATTGTTTTAACTAATATGATTTATAAAAAAACTTATAAAAATAAATATAGCAAACGTCATAATTTCATAAATAAAATACACGTACGTACCAATCGTTTTACTGAGACACAATTTTTTATAACGTTATCACATTATCATAGTAAAGCAAACAATACTAATTCCTTTTACCACATAATAAACTGTAATATAAAGTTATTTAAAAATATGTAAACATTAAAATGCAAATGATTATATTAAACTTTCATAATGTTTATCTAGATAAAAATCTAATTGGACTTAATTTTGTTTCAGATATTCCATACACGGGCAATCAAAATGAAAGTGTGCACATGAACATTTCGGATTATTACAGTTTCTAACGACTTTTTAGTAGTGTCAATGATGACGGTGCTTAAAAAGATGCGTTCACTTAACAAGTCAATGTTGTTCGCAATAGTTTTAGTGCTAGTGAGTGTGGCAGAAGGGAATGTGAACTCTTCAGAAGTGTCGGAGATGTCTGTCCCAATGTCCCGTATGTCATGGTTACGGAGCCTGCTTGATCATCACGATTGGGGCGACTTCATCAATAATAATACAGCCCTGCCACAACAGTGCGCTGTGGACCTAAGGCTTTACCTCGAATCTCTCAATGAAGGAAAATTGTGGGCTTCAAAGAGTAAGTATTTTTTCATTTAGATTTTTTAATTGTAAGTTACTTTAGCAAGAAATGCATTTTTTTATTCGATAGCAAAATAGACAACGACATTTGTATGTGGAATTAAATCATAAAAGGGTAACCCAATATAAAATGTAAGGTGGTCATAGCGCAGTAGGCAAATAAAACTGAGTTACTACACTAAACTTTTTATTACAATGCGTAATAGTTATACACAGAGTTTAAAACAATTTTCAAAGTTGGAAATACTTCATCGACCTCAATGATAATACGCTTGTTTTATATAAGTACGAAGTATATGCGTGCTTATATGATTTTACATTGTAGTTATGAGTAAATGGTATCCGTTCTTTAAAATAAATGATAGACACACGTTTGGCCATAATCTCACCCGATGTTCAGCGGTGACATAATCGTCGTACCTAAAGATGGTAAGACGTTGGTGTTATGTCTATCTGACCCATGTTGTTAAATAAATTGGTGCTATGAACTTGCGTTTCTGCCGTGACAGATTGTTGCGATGATTCGTTAGGTGTTATGTAATTACCTTCTACATGTATTTCGATTGTTTGTTTGAAATTTATTTACTGTACGGTTACGATTATGCTTTACACCGCTTACGTAAGAAACAAGACGTGCAATGAAAGCCTGCTTGCCGCCACTCAGTGATCGCTTTCAAGTAGGTCGACACTCGAGACTCACTCGCTACCTCGCTACACCTCTGGAGAGTGGATAAAATGCATTTGCCTGTATTTTTGCGATGTCTACAACTTGGATTTGGTTCTTAGTGTTTGAACCGTAATATATTTAACCTCCAAAGACCTAGAAATTACAATAGGAAAAGTCCAATCCACATTAAAAGGTACCTAAATATTATTACATCAGGCATACTCTTGTTTTGTATGAAAAATGTATTTTTCTAGATATCCTATATATTATAGCATATAGCGCAAAATTTGAATGGGATTTTTTCATTATAATGGACAATGGGCGTTTACATGATCGTAGGAATAATATTGCCTTGATATATTGAATCGCTATTCACATATTACGTACATTTAAAATGGCCACGGGGTCGGGGTTAAAATAAATTGCCAGCAAAACATTAATCCGTACCCAAAGTAAATTCCAAGTAACTTATTTTTAGTACTGATAAAAAGCTAAGTTTCACTCTTATGTTTTGGTTTAGGTAGTTTCCTGGCAAGAAATTCATGTATTTGAGAAGGCTCATAGACATTGCGTGAACAAAAATGCGAAAATGCGTGCTAGGAAAACCTTTGAAGAGATAAATAAATACGGAAAATTTATTACCTATACATACCATTTCCCAAAACTTCGTGTCTAGTAACGCGCCTGTCGTCTATGATTAGCCTCCACAGCGAAGAAATTGAAAGGTCACACTGTCAACTCGACGGGTCTGCACCGCGATAGCAGCTCAGCAGAAACGCTTATCATTCTGACGTGCTAGTCCATTAGGAAATTTTGTGTAAATTGCGTGAGAAATGTTAAAAGGTGATTTTTTGAAAACTTCAAAATTGTCTTAAATTTACACAAATTACGTTACATACCAGACGAGTCTATCTCGTAATGATTAAAAAAAACCGGAATAAGTTTCAGCCATTATAACATAGCCCGTGGTGCAATATCAGCTATAACAAGGGTAATAAGGCCTCGGAAATAATAGGACGAGTCCTGTTTTATTTGAAGTCGGAAGACTTGAATGCTCTAACAACTCAATTTATGATCTTTTTGTACATCCTACAAATGTTACTCGAAACAACTTGTTGTAAGTTGCATTTGCAGTTTTCTATTTGGTAGATCTTACGTAAAGATTTTTTGTTTTGGTAATTCTTACGAGAAAAAAATATATTTTTACGTAATGTTTTGTTTAATTCCAAAAACATGGGAAAGTTTCATTTGTTGACCAAATATTGATGTGAGTTGTTTCGTTCCACATTCACCGATTCTGAGTAAAACAGTTTCAACATCTTGGATTGATCGAATGCGAAAATATTATTACGTCACTTTCTATCTCAGTAAAAGGAAAGTTTCTGAGAAGAATCTATCTAAATGGTGTTAAATGGGAGTAGTTACGAATGGGAGTAAATACGAATAAACGGTGCAGAATAGCTGCTTGTTGCGGATCACTACCGGGGTTTCACATAGATGTAATAATGATACAGAGACGTTAATATGTCATATCTACAAGTAACAAGTTATTTAAATATCATTGCATGCGAAATATTTGACAGATTGTCGAAAGTGTGCCTTTTAGCAAGTTTCGTAACAGCCTCAGTTGAATGTTAGGTTGAAGTTCACAAAAGAAATAATGGTACAAGTTAATTAGCCTCCTTTAAACGACTTGACCTTTACAGTTTCGATTTGTAACTTGCTGATGTTTGATCGACCTAAATAATCTTTCGAAAAATAGAGTATTGTAAGGAAATCTATCTTCTCGAGACAACTAAATGTGAGTGTTTTTTCCTGTAGCAATAAAAAAGGTCAACCGAATGCTTTCACACGAGTTTTATTAGATATTGTTTACTGATTATTCGAGTAATAAATGAAAATACATACGCGTTGGGAAAGTGAAGTCGTAACGTTATCCTTGTGTGTGTTTCAGCAGTAGAAATACATAGTATTACTGTTTCAGGATATTGTTTATAGTTCATTTTTCTCCGAACTTCGCCACTTGTTACTCAGCAATTACAACAGACTTTACTACTATAACTTGCACGCTAGTTGAAAGTAAACTAAACAAATATTACACTATAAATCATGACACGTGATCTGTCATAGTGCGAAGTTTCCGACAACCTCGCAATCCTGCACAGAAAGTGTTCACTCTGTGTAGTGATGTTAAGCTGTCACGTGTCTAATATTGCGTATTAGAATAAAATTATGAAGATGTTGGGGCTAATCGCCAAAAGTTGGCAAAGTTTTAGTTATAATTACTAATACAAAGATCGAACACTTAGAAAAATTCCTTCGATTCGGCTGAATTCGAACCAGCGCCTTCAGCATACCGTGACTGACGTTCTCCCAACTGAGCTACGGACCGAACCAGCAGAACTTACGAAATTGTCTATGTGCTCGTAGCAGATCTTTGTTATTGGTCTTTAACGACTTTTTGCCGTAGCGCCATCTGTGAAAAATCTATGAAAGTTTTTCTTTAGTCAGCCAGGTACCTTTAGCGGCTGACTAGAGATGTCGCTGTAATCATTTTAGTATTAAGTTTATTGAATATCACAATGTTTTACTACCATTTTTTGTGAAATTACTCCACAAAACGTGACTGACACGGTATTCTGAAGGCGCTGGTTCGAATCCAGCCGGATAGAATAAATTTCTCTTAGTGATCCGTCTTTGTATTGATAGTTATAACAAAATATTGGAGTAATTTCACATAAAATAATTTAATACCATGGTAGTAAAACATCGTGATATTCAATAACTTAAACTTAAATATTAAAGTTTTAGTTATTTACTCTATTTTTGTATTTTTTGAGTTAGCAATCTCTGCAATGTGCAAACCAAATGTAATAAGTATTAATTTTCCCTGTCAAAGATTTCGAATTCTCAAACAGGTAATATATCTAACCTTTTTAACCTTGCGGTCTTTCTATCTTGTAATCCATGAGTTTAATGAACTATTGTTTGAGGTGGATTGCGATGAAAACACCAATTATTTTGCTTTAGAAGTAAGATTACGTTAACGACAAAATTGGTCAATACATAAACAGTAAAATTATAATTGTTGAAATAAGAAATTCAATCCGCAGTTAATTTATGATATTCCATTTTTTCATTCAATTTCTTGCGAGTCTCATTGAATTCATATCAGTTACCACTGTCGTGCGTGCCAAATGATCTTATATTCAACTTTAGCATAGTATCCAGCCAATGAATATGTATGAATTTAATATGTTGATTTATGTATAGCTGGGAATTACGTCTCATATTAAAAGCGGGTTACCAACTATGTAGATATGCAATATAGTTACTTTTGAGCTGGCATGTTATTGACACCCACATTGCCTTTAAATAACATTGTGGGATCCATTATATTCAAGATACGCATGTACTTTTTTTGCCCGCAATATGACAGATTGCTGAAGTAGGCATTATTACATTTTACATCATTGTAGCTTTTTATGATACCCAGTGACAGGACGAACAAGTCGTGCGTCTGCTGTTAAGCGACACGTCTATAGTAGTAGCAGTGCCACTCAGAGCAATCGCAAAGATCTAAGGGACACTGCCTCTGCGCTTGTCACCCTGAGACATAAGTTGACAAGTTCTATGTGCTTATTATTTAACCAGCACTCTTACCCTTTAAAAATACAACACAGTAAGTAATGCTCACTTTACTGCTTGGCGGCAGAAATAGGCAGGGAATCGTAATAATGATACGCGATATGACGCATTGCATACCATTATTGCGATCGCATCTCAACTTAACAATAAGTAACACATTTACTTATCTTTTTAGGATACCCATCAGGTATTGAATTGCGTACACAATATACGTATGGCAAACATTAAAAACATAAATTATACAAAACTTTATTTTTCTCCACAAACTTATTCACAATATCATAGCGTCGTTAATGAAGCATTTCAGCATCTGGAGTCTGATTTAGGATCGCCAAGTCTGTATCTCCATAGAAACTAAACGAACAATAAAATTAGTCAGTACAATTGATCACATTCAGGCAAATTTGACAATAAAGGCCCCCATGTACAGACCATTCCTCGTTTCAATCGATCGTCACGGTAAATGTATTGATCCGTCGCCTCTGGCCCTTAAGACATAAACGTACACTGTCACTCGTCGCTTCGATCAGTCTGAAACTACAGGTCGTGAAGACAAATCGTTCCGTATATGGGGCCCTTAAAGTAGAAGTACTTAATCAAAGATTACGCAAATCGTAAAAAAGAACAAAATATTCCAAACCTTTTTAATCACGCTCTTAGTTTTAATAATATTTCAAATGCCG